AATAAAACATCCAACACCATGAGTAAGAACTTTTCTGTGCAGAACATTAAAAGACACTCATTGGTTAAACATGCAACAGTCAAATACATGAATAAATACAAAGCAGCACAGAAACCAAAACAATGCATGGCACCACCACCACCACCAGCAAAATTATGATTTATTAAAACAAATAGGATTAATGCAAACATCATTTTTCAATAATTGAGCAAGCAGAGCAAATACACAAGACAGAGGTTTGAAAAGACTTCTGTTTGATGTGTAAATGTGGATAATCCTCCTTCTTTTTTTGTTAGACTTCAAACTAATACCTCTGTCAAACATCCTGCAGCTGATTTGTGTTTCTAAATCATAAGTCTTTAGCATAAAATAACTGGATCAGTCAAAATATAAAGAGAAAAGCCTGCTCAGTGTATCATGCTCATAATAAGTGTACTGTTTATATAGTTTCAACAACTCGAGTTGTTAGTGCCTGTTACTTTTTCTGTTGTAGTAATTTTGCTAAAACCTCTTACAGCTGGGTTTTAATTGAGTGACAGAATATAAATTTGTTCCACAGCGGCGCATATTTTGAGGTGCTTCATGAAAAACATCTCACAGCTGACTAACTGACTCATTTCTCCGGCAAGTCGATATTAGATGCGTCAGCAACCCCTGCTTTAACTTTCACCATCCCAAACATACAATGCATAGCGCACAAACCTAAATGAACCCAAAAGGATCACACACCAAAGCCAGCAGCAAAAGACAAAGCATTAGAGAAAAGTTGAGAGTTAGTCATCTGAATCTGCACCAACTCAGAAAGCAAAGCGTGTATGCCTGGATCCCGGTCATCTCTCCTGACCTACCCTGTTTCGGAGCATAGGCGGCTGTCTGTCCTCCATTCAGAGGTGAATGAAGGTCATCTTCCAGCAGCCTGTATAGTGTGTCCATGGTTTCTTTTCCTTCTCCAAAACACCCATCCTTCTCTCCCCTCCTTCCCACACTGACCATGAACTTCTTCTGCAGCAGTGCCTGGCCCGTATTACAGGCCTCGGCCCTGTCTAGCACAGACATGTCCACGGTGAAGAGCTTGACTTAAACAAGTGTTTCGACTTGAAGTTCGTCGTTTTCATGTTGCGCGTCAGAAATCTCTGTTGCCCAACTTACCCATGCCCTCTTTTGTTTGCAGCCAGTCAACCAGCTGAACGCCTGAGAAGCTGTTTTTGTATAAGGTCAGCCCCCTCCTCTGAGTGCCAATCACACCAGCATGCTTCAGGTCCTCTACCAAGTCTGCAAACTCATCTCTCTCACCTCTGAGTTCTGTGAATAGCAACATCCCAAAGCCACTTACAAAACACACAGAAACAGATGTCTGAAGCTATACATTACAAGGAGTGAAGGCTCCTGTGCAATCTAAGCTTAGTGTCAGGTGGAAAACACATCATCAGAATTTGTCGTATTTATTGTGTTTTTGGTTTAAAAAAAAAAAAAAAAAAACTTAGATGACAAAGAGAAATTCAAAAAAGCAATTTCATAAAATGCATTAGCATAGTAATTAGGAATGCAAACTTAAATCCCAAAGGAAGGAAGCTTCATTTATCTGAGTAACGTTGCTGGTGGCGCCATAATGAAAAGACTATTTACGCTGTCGGATACCCAATTCAAAGATTTAAATGGCTCCCCTACAGCAGCCAGGTGCTGCAGGCCTCATTTATAGGATCAAATATCCTGTGTCACTGCTAACAAGCACAGCCGAGTCTGGCCTCGAAAAAAAAAAGCCCTCACACAAACACTGCTGCTGTTACGTAAAAATACCACCATGTCCTTCCCATCAGTTCGCGCTATTTCATAACTACTGACTGATTTAGACTCATCCTCAAACAGAGGTGACTCAGCAAAATCTGTTTCCTGAGACAGTTATCCATTTGCTTTTACAAACCTGACACAGATTTTGGTACTTAACTTATTCCTTACAGTTCTGAAAAAAATATGAAAGCATTGTGTATCAATATTTCAACACACCAAGCATTAAGGAAAAAACAAAAAACAAAAAAAAAAAAAAAAAAAACAATATTGGAACAGAATGCTGTTTTGGTTAAACAATAATCCCAAAAACACCAAATATATTCATAGTAAATTGCTTACGTCCATCAATTTCCCCATCTGGAGCCTCAAATGGATTGCTTTCCGGTAACGGTGGAGCATTTGCTGAAAGAGGCTCTTCTTTAACCAGAGTCACCAGTCTTTGAAGCTCCTCAGTAGCCTGTGATTGTAAAACACAACAAGTGACCCAAGTTGGACTTATGTATGTTCTTTCTTCAAAAAAAGAGCAATTCTCGGGATCATAGAATTAGATCTAGACTCAATAGATATCTGTTCTACTTACCAGTTTTTGGAGATCGTCGTTACCCCCAACATGGACGCTATTAAAGAAGATTTGAGGTACGGTGCTGCGTCCTGTAAGCTCCTTCAGTTTCACTCTTAGCTCTGAATGAAGGCCAACATCCACTTCACATACTGGTATGCCCAAAGACCTGAGGGTAGCTTTAGCCTGTACACAATGTGGACATCCCTGGATAGAGTATACCGTTACACGGCCAAGAGCACTGCTCTTAAAACCCTCCATCTGCAGCAGAAATAAGAAGATTTAAATATATCAAATCAGTGCAAAGTTACTTTTATCTTACTTATATTTTATAGTTGAACTACACTGAGTAAGATAGGACAACACAAGAGGTATTCATCTTTAAATGACTAAGGGTCTCTTTATATACGTCACATACTGCATACACATCTGGTCCTAAATAAATTACAATCTTTGGTTTAGGAAGGTGGATTCATAATCCTTAATCCTATATAATCTCCTTGAAGCTTTGTTCTCTGCATGCTATCTACAGTGCCTGGCAAAAGCATGCTACACGATATTTTTGTAAGAGTTTTCCACATTACAAGCAAAAACTTCAAAACATTTTTTTTTTTTATGTTTTTTTTTTTTTTTTTTTTTGCATGTGTGTTAAATAGACCACAAAAAGCAGCATTCTGATCTGGATGGAAATTGAAATATAGATTTTCAACAGTTTTTTGAGCATATAAATTCAGCTCCCAAATCAGTACTTTGTGAAACCATCTTTTCCTGCTATGACAGCAGTAAGGCTTTTGTAGTATGTCTCTAGCAGCTTTATTTCTTTGCAAAACAGCTCAACTCCCACCAGTTTCCTGTATTTGCTCAAGAAAAGAAACCAGCATGATGCTGCCACCACTTTTTATTGTGGGTACAGAGCGTTAATATGGCCACCTGTCCAATTCAGCTCGAAAAACGTTCTCCCTTCCATCACTGTACGAAGCTGTGTAAGCTGTGTAGGGCATGGTGTTTACCACGCTAGTGCGTCAAAGGTAATTTGCTCAACCTGTGTACAGATGTGCAATATCCTGTGTGAGACATAGGCAAGCCGATGAATAATTTACTAACTTATTTAATGGATAACAAAACAGGACAAACTCCTACGCAAAGAACGGTTTCTGACAAATCATTGACAAGGTTTTTACTCCCTATTTTTGGACATTTCTGTGTGGAAAACATGTCACAAAGTTATTTTTAGGTTCATTGTTACTTAAACTAACAAAAGTTGAACGCAGGCTCTTTATGATGATTCGACTGTGTAAATGGGGTCCCGTGTCCAGTACTGAACCACTACCAAACGCATGTTCTCAAAACGTTTTTTTTTTTTTTTTGGAATGTAAGTTTTTATGCAACAACATTGACCGCTAACTCTCTAATGACCGAGCTTTAAATAAAATAAACAGTTTATCTAGAAAATATATAACAGATGAAAACATATTTTATATTCAAATAAAACGCGCCTTTAAATTAAATTCCCTAAATGCTGTTTACATTGCGGTAACGTTAGTATATAACCTGCAAAATCAACAGATACAAAATGAAAATGTTAGTTTCCGATCATTGTACATATTTTCTTATTGCTGAGTTAAATTATTGAATAACAAGCGTATGACTTATTAGTTAACGATAGAAGTACATTACCTTTCTTGGTTTCCCTGCTATGGTCAACACAGAAGTATGATATAAAATTTTACGATTAATCCTTATTAAACAACGTTAGCTAAACCAAACTAAATAATAAGTATTTGCAGCTCAAATTAAGACGCTGACGGCGCATCGCCCTTTCCGCAGGCTTTTTGCTTGCTAGTTCCCGAGCAGACGCCGCATTGGCTTCATTGCCAAGTGAAAACAGTACGTCGGCGTGTTCGCCATATTACAAGTGGCATGTTCTCACAAATAACCAATGTAATCATGGAAAAAAGGCGACGTTTTCGTTCAACTTTTGCTGACAGAAGTCAATAATAATAATAATAGTCATCATAATAGTCATAATAATAATAATAATAATAATAATAATAATAATAATAATAAGAAGAAGAAGAATAAGAAGAAGAAGAAGAAGAAGAAGAAGAAGAAGAAGAAGAAGTTTTTAATGGAAAATGAAATACAAAAAAAGATATCCACAATGTCACCAAGATCTTGTAAGAGGCTTACTATCCGATACTCTTTAAATCTAAAAAAAAAAAGTGACACTCATAATATGGTAACAATATGGCAACGGTTCCAAAACGGACCGGACGTTCCAGATTTGTCCTTCCTCATTTCGCCTGTCTTCTGATGATACCTTCAAATGCTCATTGTAAATTTGGAATTTTTGTACTTTTCCTTTTACGTTTGACCATGATTGTCAGTGCACGGCATCAATATGATATAATTTACTTTGCAGTCATATAAATTAGTTAGGCCTAATATAGGGTTCCAAATTTCTTGTCATAACGCCTATATATGTTAAATTTGAAAAGAACACACACTATTAAGATGGGAAATGCTAAAATTTCGACAAGCAAAAAGGAACGCAAATTATCCTTCATGACGCATTTACTTGAACTCGGATTCCTACTGCAGTGTTTTGAAAAACAACACGGTACAGCAATCATGTATACACAACAGGGATTCGTATGAACACGTGAAGCAAAATTTGAAGTAATAATTACACCGGGGGTATAAACATAGGACAAAATTAACTAAAAAATTAAAAACACCAGCACTACAATAAAAATATTTGTTATGGGAGGAACAGTTACGCATAAGTAAATGTTTCTGTACGGACGCATTTCCAAGCAGTGCACATAAGGGCGAAAAGCCCAAAATTTTGTTTTGTGATCATGTCTGGGCTTTCAGAAACGGAGCGTGTTGGCTTTAAAAAGATATTGAGCTCGATGACAGATGTCGACTTAAGGTCACTTAGTGACACGGTTACAAATAAGATGATTGTTGTGGAAAACGTGACAGGTAAGACTTCAGTCTAAAAAGGAATACTCTTGCTCGATTATTCCTAAGTCTCTTCAAATTTTTAACAATGATCTTAAAAATGTCACAAACTTGGGTAATCATTGTATACATTTACTTAAAACACCAGCATGCGAAAACATCAGAGAAAACAAAAACATAAATGTTTATGTGCTGTTTGTTTACACATTTTTAATTTTTCATACAGAGGCTATGGAAACAATTCTGAGTTTCTCCAAAAGTGGAGAGGAGCTTCTCAGAAGGAGAAAGGTTCACCGTGACCTCATATTTAAATACCTCGTCAAAGAAGGGGTGACGATGCCGCCAACCAGCGAGAAACACCAGCTGGTGAAGAGGACGCTGGAGCTGTGGTCGTCAGTAACGGTAGGGCAGGGTATGCTAACCTGTTCCCATGGTTATACAGTCGTAGTTTAATGAATGATATTTAAAACATTACGCTATTTTTGCATCTAAAACGGTTAGGAAAAGCTCTGACACATTTAATAAATGTTTGAAATAATTTGCAGTTTGAGTTTTTAATTAATTTATGGTCAGTTTTGATAGTGCATTAAATTTCAACTTATCTACTTGTTGCTACTTGTCAGCTGCTTGAAACAACCATACAACACTTTTCTCTGGCTTTCGGAACAGACAAAATCATCAAATTGGAAAGTGTTCCAATTGTTCACATAGTTCTACTTTATTTGTTTCAGATCCAGTAGGTTGATTTCACCACAGACACACTTAAGCTTACTCTATTTATTTTAACAAGAGAAAAAGTGAAGTTGGAAGCTAATATCAGTCCAGCACCTTGTGCTCCACAGTTACAAACTGGGGGGGAAAAAAAGGAAAAGGAGGTGAGTTGAGTGTGATTGTATAGTGGTATTTCACACAAATTCACAGTAATCTATATAAATAGTCTTTAATGTAAATAGCGGATATACATGTTTAGAAAAGTAAAGTAAATACACACAAACATTCAAAGACCATCACAAGTTGTATCAAAAAAATTAAAACATATCTAACAAGAGAAAAAATCAAATTGGTGGTTAACATCAGTCCAACAGCTTCTGCACCTAGTCATTAAATAAAATACAATAATAATAACTAGAAAATTCCGCAGAAATTTTGAGGGGCATGCCAAAGTGTGCCCGTCGCTTTTTAATCA